CCCCCCCCCCCCCACAGACAGCGCGACACTCCCACCAGGCTGACGCTTCTACCTAACAATATGTGAGCCAATGAACATCTGCAAACCAGATTACCCGGGGCAACAAGATTCTGTTTTGATTCTGCTAGCTGCCCTACGTGCGTCTGAAAGCACCTTCTCTCCTGAATAATGACTCAAACGGCCTGTAATTGCCCACTCGGCAACTCAGTGCAGACAGAACTACTGGATATGCTGTTGTTTTAGAAAAAAAAATACAAGGTGGGGTTTAATTAAATAATTCCTCTCATGCAAGGTTACTAAGCAACCCTGCTCCGGAATTTTGAACCACAAGTATGAGGTGGATGGTAAAAGAAACTGAAAGACAAGGTTGTTCTCACACAAATAATTAAAACTGAAACCATGGTGAAACTGAGCAGGGCTTGCAGTATCGGTGGAAACAGATACAGAGTTAATGTTTCAAGCTTAATGATTCTTCTTTGGAACTGAAGTTTATTGGGCTTGAAATATTAACTCTGTTTTTCTCTCCATAGGTGCTGCCAGACCTGCTGAGAGTCTCCAGCAATTTGTGTTTTTATTATTTTTGTTCCCTCTTAGCATTATTACAAAATTTCTAGTCCAACAACACAATAGGAGCCCACACAGTCCATAAATCCTACCCCATCATTTAGTTCAACATTATCTGGTATGCGTCTCAATTGCATGTCCCCAGCTTTGGTCCAAATCCCTCTACACCCCTGACAAAAAAAAACTATCAAACTCCGTACGGACATTTCCAAATCAACAACTTCTCTCACAGGCTGGTGAATCCATGTAATTATTTCCCACCAAAGGCTGTCAAGGCTGGGTCATTAAGTACATTCAAGACTTATATATACAGATTTATAATCAAGAAAGCTACTGGAATGTTGGCCTTTATTTCAAAGGGATTGGAGTATAAGAATAGTGAAGTCTTACTGCTGCTATACAAGGTGCTGGTGAGACCACGTCTGGAATACTGTTAGGAGTTTTGCAACTATTATTTAAGGAAAAGATATCATTTCATTGGAGGTGGTTCAGAGAAGGTTCACTAGGGTGATCTCTGGTATTGAGGGTTTGTCTTTTGAGCAAAGATTAAACAGGCTGGGACTCTACTCACTGGAATTTAAAAGAATGAGAGGTGATCGCAGGGGGAGCTGAAGTCAAGATGGCATAGCTTCAAAGTAAAGGGGCACCAATTTAAGATTGAGAGGAGGAGGAATTTCTTCTCTCAGAGGGCTGAGTGTCTTTGGAACTCCTTTCAACAGAGAGCTGTGGGGACAGAGTCCTCGCGTATATTTCAGGCTGACATAGATAGGTTCTTGATCAGTTGGAGAATCTAGGTTTATGGGGAGAAGGCAGGAATGTGGATATGAGGAATGGCAGAGATAGCAAGAACTGCAGATGCTGGAGTCAGAGACAACATAGTGTGGAGCTGGATGAACACAGCAGGCCAGGCAGCATCAGAGGAGCAGGAAAGCTGACGTTTTGGGTTGGGACCCTTCTTCAGAAATCTTCTGAATTCCAATGACAAATGGCAGATCAGCCACGATGCTATTGAATTATGGAGCAGGCTGAAGGGGGTGATTGGCCTACTCCTGCTCCTATTTCCTATGGTCTAGGTGGAGTTGAGGATTATCAAGTCAGCCACAACCTCATTGAATGGCAGAGCAGACTCGAAGGGGTAAATGGCCCATTTCTGCTCCTATGTCCTATGCTCTTAACCCCAGCTTATTTTCAGGGTGGAATTCAAATTTCCCACTACCCTTTATATGAAGAAATGCTTCCTCAGAATAGCCCCAACCAGACAAGCTCCAGTTTTACAGTAACACTGCCTTGTCCTGGGTTCTCTGGTTCTGAAAAGGGAAGAACCTCCCTTTGCAACATTTGCAATTCTTTGTAGCAGTTTGGTGCATCAGAGCGTCTCTTCACCCTTCTAAGAATCCAAATTCACAACCACTACCATCTCAAAGGACAAGTGCAGCAAATACAGGGGAACACCGCTGTTTGCACATTTCCCCTCACCATCCTGACTTGGAAATATATAACTATTCCTTCACTGCTACTGGATCAAAAATCTGTCCTTAACAAGGCAATTCACCACCACATTCTCAAGGACAATTGGCAACGAGGAATATTACTGCTCTTGTCTGTGACACCCACACCCCATGAATCTATTTTTTAAAAAATCAGACGTGCTTTTCTGGGACTAGAGCCTCAAAAGATGCAGACAGAGAGAGAAAATGAGATGTATTCCATGTCTTTCACCGGAATTAGATAAATCCATGGCCACGATTGTCAATATTTGTATTTGAATTTCAACCAGAAAGTGCCAAACCACTGAGGACGACAGAAATATTTACATAAATCTGTTTGGAATTTCTGAAGGATGGACACTGGACTGAAGTGTTAACTCTGATTTCTCTCCACAGATGCTGCCAAACTTGCTGAGTTTTCCCAGCAATTTCCGTTTTTGTTTCAGACTTTCAGCTCAGTTTATAAACGGAGCAAGACAGAAGGGATATCTGATTCAACATGTAAACTTATAAACTTTTTAGAAAAGTCACAAGAGAGATTTTGTCATCCAGCTTGGAACCCATGAAAATACAGTGCTATTAGTTACAATAATTCAACATTGCTGAATTTGGACACATTTCAATCCATTAAATATTTGACATTTTACATTCAACATACTCTATTCTTTAGGCTTAGAATACTAAAAATTTATTTCCCATTAAATAACAGTACCAAGGAAGCACCCACAGTCAGATAGTCAATACTGAGGAAGACGAAACAGAAATTATTGGAAAATCTCAGCAAGTCTGGCAGCATCTGTGGACAAAAAACAGAGTTAACACTTTGGAAGCAGTGACCCTTCTTCAGAACTCAGAGAGCGCCGCGCTGTCGGAGGGTCAGCGCCGAGGGAGCGCCGCACTGTCGGAGGGTCAGCGCCGAGGGAGCGCCGCACTGTCGGAGGGTCAGCGCCGAGGGAGCGCCGCACTGTCGGAGGGTCAGTGCTGAGGGAGGGGGCACTGTCGGAAGGTCAGTGCTGAGGGAGTGGGCACTGTGGGAGAGTCAGTGCTGAGGGAGTGGGCACTGTCGGAGGGTCAGTGCTGAGG